TCACTGTCATTCTGTTTCATTGAGGGTCTTCCTCTTTCTTACTAGCCCTCCCCGTTTCCCTGCATGATGTCTTTTCCCAAGCACTGACCCCTTCTGACAACCTGAGTGAGCTCAGGTGACAGTGTGGTCTGGCGTTTTGAATCCACCAGCAGCTCCGAGGGAGAAAGATGAACAGTCACTTCCTGTGCAATTTGCAGCTTCGGAAACCCACTGGAGAACCCACTATGAGTCGACGGCAGTGAGATAGGTTATCTAAGGAAATGTATAACTTTACCAGTGGCCTTACCTAATACGAAAAACTGATAATTGTTTCTATGAGAAGTCATTAAATTTCATAATCAAAGCAAAAAAAAAAAAAAAGAAAAGAATGAAACAAGTAGTTGGATGTAAGAAAGAGTTATCATATTGGGAAGTATTGGTGTCAAGTACCCTTTTATGATTATTAAAGGTTCTGAAAGTCAGTGGGGGGAAATAGCATGTGAAAATCTATCACAAAACTGCTAAAAAGAAAATCAAGATACTTCAAAATGAAACTGTTCAAAATGCTAATCATTATGCTTCCCACCAGAAGAGAGAAATGAAGGTTATTTTTTCCACTGAGAAAGAAAGAGGAAGAGGAGAAAGGCAAGGGGAGAAAACAAAGAATATTTTGTCAGATTAAGTCAAGTGTTTGCATAAAAAATATAGTATCTTTCTAGTTTCTTATTTAAAGAAATAATAATGATGCAAATGCAAGTTAAACTTCAGATTTTATTTCTTTCCTACTGTTTCATGCAGAGATTAGTAGCCTATGGATCGTCTATTTGTACCTCCCAAGTTAAATTAAATTCATTTCCCCCTTTTTTCTAATATATTTCTAGAAATAATAGCCTATATACTCTTCACATTTGATTGGCTATTTTAAAGTTTGTACCCCTTAAAGAATATATATGTTAATACATATTAACATTATTCATTAACATATATATTAAATAATCCTTCTTTGCATTAAATGTAAGCAAAATTTAAAATAACCCAGGTGATACTATCATTAGCACTTTTCCTAATGATTATCTATATATAACAATCATCTTTTGTTTATTCTTAAATTCCTCATAGTTTTTCCCCAATATGCTGATTTTTCTTTGAGGTGCTTTAAGTGTGGTAATATTTTAGTTCTGTTTTCCTTTGCCCACTTGACAACATATCTAAATGGTTAAAAGCAATGACTCTATATGTTATCAACTCATTAACTGAAGAATGAATAAATGAGTGAGTGAACAAATGAATGAGAGAAGCACTGATTGCACTTAGGGTTGATTTTAAAAAGCCAAAAATATAAATGAAATATTTTTTCTAAAACAAAAGTAGATTATTCATTAGCATTAAACTAATGAAGTACATTAACCTAAGTATAAGTTGGGTGCTGTAAATATTTCAAATTAATTTATACAGTAAAATACAAATATGTATTCTTTTGAAAACTTTAAAATATTGCAGATAAAATTAAGGTCTCTTTGAATATGAATTCATACCAACCAACACCAAATCTTCTGATGTAAAATCTATTCTGACTCATAACAACCATCCTTCAGGTTTCTAAGGCTGTAGTCTTGATGGAGGAAGACTGTATCTTTCTTCTTTGAAGCAGCTCATGAATTCTTCAGTTATAAATGTGAATTTCCTAGTCATTGTCTTTGCCTTATATAATATGGGTAGAACTACGTAAATATGTGGTATTTATTGTCCCATCAATGGCAATGATTGGATAACTTTTTAATATCATAAACCATGTAAATATCACCTTTGAAGTGGGAACATGCAAATAAGATGTATAAACTAATGAGCAGATTCATCAGTTTTGCTATACCAAACTTAAATTGACCAGGTTCAGATGCATAAGATGGGAATCTTGGTATCATCAAGATATGTTGGGGAATGTTGGGGAGGAAGAGAGGGCCTCTGGCCAGGACAGATCCCCTATCTCTGGATACGTGCAAGCCTCCCAATTGCATTTAATATGGGGTAGAGAAAGCTCACCACCTCGGAAGACGGCTGCCGCATCTGTTGAACTGGGAGTGGTCCACACGAGGCTGACATTCTCCTAATCAATCCGCATGTCCCATGTCTGTAAGCTCACTCTATCCTATCTTCTTGTTCACTTGCTTGTATATAAGTGTGCTACAGCCCCCAATAAAGTTGAGCTGGATTGACTCTCTGAATGGCTCCCAGAGTGGTGTGTATCTGTTGTGCTTATCCCCATCAGGGTGATGCTATTTGTTGCCAGTGAATGGACAGCTACAAAGAAAGAAGAAGCAGAGAGTGGACATTTTGGTCAAAGATTCCTTAACAAGACAAACTGGTGCAGCATCATCACTATCAGTCTTCATCCAAATTTAAGAGTCCTCCTCCAGCTCATAGGGTAACTGGGTAATTGGATATAGATTCGATAGCAGTGATCTATCTATCATCTATCTATCTATCTATCTATCTATCTATCTATCTATCTATCTATCTATCTATCTATCTATCTATCTCTTATTCTTTCTTCTACCAAAAATAAGCTTATTCACAATTTTATGTGCTTCAGAAGGTTAGATTCTCTTTCCCTAATATAAAGCTCCTATTTGTATAGTCATCATCTGTGCTTGTTAAAGAAAGTATCTACAATGAATAAGTCACTGAATGTAAAATTCAATCTCCTGCCTCATTTATGTCCCCAAGTTCATATTTCCAATTACCATTCTTTTTGCTTTGTTTCCAACTTTTGCATTCTAGTTATCAGTCATTAATAGTGCATCTTGACTGCATGCATGTTTAGTCAATTTTGGACTGCAAACTTTGATAAAATTCCTCAATTTCCATATCATTGGACTTAACTGTTGATATGTATATCTGAATAACAGTAATAGTAACAGACATTTCTTGTATTACATGTGGATGTCATCCTATAACTCACAGCATTGTACTTTATGATACATCTTGCAACATTATTTTAATTAAGAACACAATACCATTCCCCTTCAAGTTTTCATACCTAGCAGTGTATCATAAGATTTTCCAATTCTAAGTGGCCAATTACAGTCCATTTCAGCTCATAAATATCTAGAATGTCTCTTTTTATTTGTTCCACTTAATTTTTTTTACAACTTCCAATTTTGCAATTATTAATGCCTGTCTGCAACTGTTCTTATTTTCTAGTAGCTTTCCATCTGGCTCTACCTCTAATATTATAGCTGTGTTCCTCTATTAGTCATAAGGTTTTCCAAAGCCCTGTTTTATAAATGGGTGACCAGTCCTTCTTCCTAGTTTGTCTTAATCTGGGAGCTCTGCTGAAACCTGTTCACCATGGGTGATCCTACTGGCACTTGAAACATCAATGGCATGGTTAGTTTTCAGTATCACAGCAACTCATAAGTTACCCTAGTACAGCAAACTGATCAACAAATCCTGTACTAAATGCTTTTGGTCGAAGTGCATCCAAAACCCACTAGAATTATTCATTAGCAGAAAACTTCCAGAAGTTAAAGGTGATTTAGAGAGGCCATGGCACCAGGAGCATCGTTGTTGATGTCAGATGGATCCCGGATGAAAGCAGAGAATACCAGAAGAATGTCCTCATGTGTTTTAGTGACTATGCAAAGGTATTTGACATAAAAACCATAGCTAATGTTGAGAAGAATGGGAATTCTAGACCACTTAATTATATTTATACAAAATTTATACCTAGATCATGAAGCTGTTGCATGAACAGAACAAGGGAGTATTGCACGGTTTAAAATCAAGAAAGTGAATTGGCACTGTATCTTTTCTCCATATCTATTCAATCTGTATGCTGAGAAGTAAAACTTTATGAAGAAGAATGTGGCATCAGGTATGGAAGAAGACTCATCAACAATTTGTGTTATGCAAATGACAAAATTTTGCTTGCTGAAAATGAGGAGGAATTAAGATGCTTGCTGCAGAAGATCAAGAATTACAGCCTTCCATACGAATTACATGTCAAGAACAAGAAAACAGTAATTCCCACCACTGGGCCAATAACAACATCATGATAGAAGGAGATTGAAGATTGAAATTGTCAAAGACTTTATCTTACTTGGATCCACAATCAATGTCCTTGGTATCATCAATCAGGAGATTAGTAGATGTACAACATTGACAAAGTTTACTGTCAGGGACCTCTCCAAAGTCCTGAAGAACAATGATGCCATTTAAAAGACTAAGATGTACCTGTTCAAGCCAGGGTTCTTCTAATTGCCTGATATGCATCTGAAAGTTGGAAAATGAATAAGGATGATAGAAAAAGAATTGATGTCTTTGAAGGTGGTGTTGGAGAAGAGTACTGGATATTCCATGGACTCTCTGAAGAACAAAGAGATATGTCTGGGAGAAGATACAACCAGAGTGCTCCTTGGAGGCAACATTGGTGAAGATTTGTCTCACATATTTTTGGACATGTTTTTGGAGAGGAACATCAGGCTTGGAAAGGTAGAAGATAAATGAAGAAGATTTTCAGTAACATGGATTGCTAGAGTAACTGTGTCAATGTGCTCAATCAAGTGTGTCAGCGATGATAAGAATGGTGCAGGATAAGACAGGGTTCAGATCTGTTGTTCATAGGTTCACCATGAGTCACACATGACAACACCAAACAGAAACAAATATAAGGATATGTATGATGCAAATTCTAACAAAATAGCTGATAAGGATAAATAAAACTTTTATCTTTATAACTGATAAGTAATTTAGAGTTTGTAGGCAATGGATTACAAAACTTATTTTAAATGAATAA